ATATACCAATATACCGATTGGATCAAATATAAAAGTCAGCCGAATTAGTATTGATACTGCAAGGAGACGTATTGTGTGAAGAGAAATTGAAGATTTGTTTGATTTCACATATATTTATGATCCACGTCATATATTCAGTTTCGGCGGCAGTTATTCCTGTTTGTCTAGAAGTCCTCTCATCAGGGCTCTAAAAATAGCGAACTACGGCAGATATGTAATATTTAATGCAGCCGAACCGTGTATTACAATGCCGTCATGTGATGACCTCCAAAGAGAAAAGCAAGCAAACTCGGAATAAAGTATTATTTTATTTTTTTTAAATGTTTCGCAATCCCACAACGGCACGTCCATTAATTCCACAATCACACACATGGATTAACATCGCTTTAATAAATTAATGTAGCCTTTGTTTCTGCTAAAAGAGGTGTCAACCAGCTGGGGCAACAAGAAAATCGGCGAAATCGAGTGTGACTATTACAAAATAAATCATTGTTATATTAATATTGACAATAACAACCGACCGTCGGGGTAGCATTTGCCGGGGAGCGTTCTCATGGCGTCTATTATCTATTATCAACGCTATGGGAGGTCTATGAAGGTCTATGGGACGCCCTGCCCGTTGAAAACTGGCTCTCAAGTGGTACCCTGTGCGTAATAGAGTGACGGGGAGGGGCCCTGACCGACCGTCAACATGTGACGGGTTGGGAGTGAGAACATGTTGATCATGCAGAGCTGCGTGTCTCCGTCAGACTCACCCCTTGATTCCACCGGGTCCGAGGTTTTGGTCCGGCCTCCTCCGGCGTCATAACCCACCGGGCGCGTTTCCGAAGCATTTCAGAAGCTGTATTTTAGTGGTAAAAAAATGCATTCATCATCATAATTATTCTATATATACAATTTACACAGTGCCTGTAAACTGGAGGAGAACAATATTGCGTCGAAAATAAACTTGCATACTATTTTGAGCGGAGCCCAGCGCCGAGACGCTTCTGGGACGCTTCTGAGCCGTAATGCGGCGCGTCTGGTGGAATAGCACCCACCTTGAGCTTCATGCAGCGTTTATTTATTTGCAGCATTTTGTATTTGCAGCGTTTTGTTTATGCAGTGCTTTGAGGAAACACTCCATTTGTTTTCCAAATGCTGCACATTTGTTGTCAAGTTGGTGAAGATAATGTTTTACTTGCATTTGTTTTGTAAAGTGCAGCGCGTTTCTACCAATGGAAGTGTTTTGGGCCCTGGTTGGCCACCGTAACCTTTGGAGCAAAACAGAGCATTTATTTTATAGCTAAAGAGCCATCCATTTAAAAAAAAAACTTGACATGACTTGTTCTTGCTCTGCGTCTGAAGCTTGCTGTGTGGAGAGTGAATATGAAAGCTGTGAGGTTTTATTCCCAGCGAGCCTCCTTTCTGATCTGCACCACAATGCTCTGGAGGAGGCCAAACTGCACTACAGTATCTGTCAATTAAATAGTCCATAATCCAAGAAACCCTGCTGCTGTCCACCTGCTTCACTTTGAGCTTCACCCTGAGGGGCCGGATGACCATGAAAACAGTGCAATCAATGAACACGATTGCCATCATGCACCCACCTCTGTGGGTGGGAATAAGCTCTGCGGAGCTGGGACGTGATGAAATTGTCCACCGGCATTATGATGCTCCGACTGAAAAGAGTGGAATATAATAGAATGTATTTTTACATTATATTTTGATTTGATTTTAATGGATCAATTCTCCAATTGGACTGCTGAGAACTCACTTGAAGCTTTCAAAGCAACTCATATTGCCTCATCATTTGTAATCTTTAATATCTATATTTGTGCGGCTGGATATTGATTGATGTACTTTTTTTCATTTGTTCCCCACCGGTCATTTTCTTTCAGACCTGCACACTATTGTCAGGAAATAGTGGAATGCTACGTCTAACATCTCCGTATAGCCAACAGCAGCTGCAAAGGGGGATAACAGCAATTACTCACACCTTTCACCAGCGTTTCGCTCACCATAGCTGCAGTTTTCTTTGGTTAAAATGGCTACGGCTGAATTTACTGTTCACTCCTCCAAGATTCAGAAAATACATTTGTTTTCATAAGATAATCACTAAATAAATAGCACTTCTGGCATATTATGACTAAATGGCTGACCTGTTTCACTCCACGATGTCAGTGTAGCAGCAGAATATATGTATATGTATTTGGATAAGGGTTTGTAGATTTTTATGATGTAGAATTCTGTCCACAAACACATAGTAACATGTTATCAATTGTTTCAGCATGCCAAAATTGCTGAAAAAAATCGCTTTGAGAGCCTGAATTTGTTTAGAGATTGTGTGTGTGTGTTCCATTGAGTCTGTGAGTTATATAAGTGGGAAGAGGAGAACATATGTAACTGAAACAACTGAAAGGTTTGACCATGTATTACCGGGAACATATAAATGTCACCTGTGAACACATTTGTTTTATTCCCTCTTTGACGCCCTCTCTTCCTGCTTCCCTTTTACACAGAAATCATGAGAGAAAATCTTTCGCTTATCTTCAAAATTATTATTTTGTCTCATCAAAGCCCACCCCTCTTTTAAATCCAATGCTGTAATAGACTCATTATGTGAGCCCACCAAGGCGGAGGATTCTATTTCTGGCTCTTTCAGTAAAATTCATATTCATTAATCAGAACCTTCTTTGAGGCTTTAGAAATACAGGTGACTTTCAGTGAAGCGGCAGTCGCCCGGCATGATGTGGGGGACCTCAAATTAGATAAGCCGCTATGAATACATACATAGACATTTACTGGAGCCACAGGCATTCTCATTACATTCTTATTACACTGGAGATATCACATAGACACAGGGATCAATAAAATAAATGATTTGCTCACAAAGAGGGGGAAAGAAAGTTCAGTGCTGCTCGTGCAATGAACATTTGTATTCTACTTACACTGCAGACTGTATTAGCAGATAAGAGGTCATTCAAATGCCTGGAAATCAATTAAGGCTATAATTACTTATTAAAAAATGGGATTTCACAAGTTAATGTATTGGCAGGTGGCTTAAGGCTTACTGAGTGTTGTTCGTGACTTTTTGTCTTCATTTGTTCCTCTTGTTTTCCCAGTTGCTGCAAAGGTCACTAGGGCTTTGATACATCAATTATCTGGCAGCCTGTCTAGTATAATTGACATCATGCATACATGAAATGCAGCCCAACAAAATAAGAGGAAAAAATCCACTATTTCATCCTACGATGAGAGTTGCCTGTCGTTTGCTGTAAGACTTACATCAGGTCAAGGTTAAGGTGTAAATGGTTGAGCTATAATCTGGAAAGTGGTGACAAAAAAACAGTGGACCTTGTAAATAACATTCCCCATATGGTGATGTCTTGTTCTCCCAAGCTTGACCAGTGGGTTAGTTGGAGAAACAAACATTGATGGACAGATGGGGCCTTTTAAAACAAATGGCTGGTGGGTTTTGGTATTGCAAGAGCAGCTCTGTTGGAAAATGTAATGAAATTGCCAGTAAACAAATACCAGCAGCTTCACATGGAGAGTACCATGTGGAAAAGGACACAACAAAGGCCAACTGCCCATGTGATTTATATCGCCGGTAGCTCAGTTTGTGGGATAGCAACAAGAAGGTCCCCCGTTCAAGACCACCAACGGACCAAGTAGTGTGCTGGTACCTAGAGAGTTGCCATTTTCACTTTGTCACACTGCTGTGGGACCCCTGAGCAAGACACCTGACCCCAAACACTCTTCCCCAGGTGCTTTATAGTTGCTGCCCACTGCTCCTAATACTAGGATGTGATGAGTGCAAAGTCTAGATTTCACTGTGTATTCTGGGACATGGATGTGTGACAAAAATAAATGGAATTGATTTAATTCCCAGAAAAAATACACTTTGCTTATTTGATAACGTTTCCTCATAATGGTGATAGAAAAAGAAATCCAGGCGGCATATTTTTCCTAAGAATTGTATATACTTTTGAAAATGAGTAGTGTATAATATGATTTATATGGGACAGTTTTACATAACAGCTTCCACGTGACCTCAATGACCTCAGCATCTTGTGACATCTTGGGATTCATATTTTTCATCGCAATACATATCTTTCCTGCAAATTGATTACCTAGTGGGCAACGTACAAAACCTGTTAGATGTTATTGTTATATGAACGTTGCTTTTGTCTGAAATAATTCCCTACTGTAAGTCTCCTGCTTTTATTTTTGGTGTTTTATAACACTTTGGCATACAGCTTGCTCTGTGATAATATCCAATATCACTCACAGCAATGCAAAAATAAGATTTAGATGTGTGAACACAGCCAGGCACTTTATAGGGGATCAGTATGCAGCTACAAACACTGTGGAATATACAATCACTTAAGGTAGAACATTACTGGATGATGTCTAATGCAAAGGTGCAATTTATTTGTTCAAAGGCATGTTCATTCAATAAAGCACAGAAGGTGCCAAAAACGAACCCAAAAATTATTGAGGCGGCCCCTGGGAATTCATGTTACTCTTTGTCTAGTTTGACGCTGCTTGAGGAAGAGCATGGTGCCTTTAAAACATCGCCATTAGATTTATTGTTCTTTGGGTATAATCCAAT